AGGCGCCCCTGGCCACCGAGTCTACCTGGAACAAAGTTTTGAAGAAGAGGATTTGAAAGTCTGATGAAGCCATTGGCCTGAATGGCGGACGGGTCAGGGCTCGCAAAACCCTCAAAGTTGGCAAATCTTGACCAATGTTTTCTGGATTAGCAGGATAGGGGAAAACAGGTAGAGGAGACAGTCCTCCCAGTCCACCATGAAGGCATCTCCCAATGATGGTCTGCCTGTCCCCGCTCGAGAGCAAAACATGTTGCATTTGGTGTTGTACTGATTCGCAAACACGTCTATAACTGAAGATCCCCATCGATCGCATATCATTGAGAACACAGTCGTCGAGCTCCCATTCATGAGTCTGGATGGTCATACAACTCAGCTGGTCGGCTACTTCGTTGTCTGTTGACACATGAGCAGTGATTGTAGAAATGTGATGTTCGTAGCACCATTCACACAGATGGATTGATAGATACAGAAGCGACATTGAGTGGGTGCCTCCCTTCTTGTTTGTGTAGTACATGGTTGTGGTGTTGTCTGTGACCACTTGAAAACCTTGACCTGCTATTAATGGATGAAAGGCCCAAAATGCCTTGATGACTGCCAGCACTTCTAAGTGATTTATATGAGGAAACTTCTCTGGCTTGGACCACAGAGCGTGAATCTTGTGAGGACCACAGTGTGCACCCCATCCAGTAGGGCTGGCGTCTGTTGTTACTTGAATCGTCAGTTGAATGAGTTGGAAAGGGCAGCCCATGAGCTGATGTGGAAGAAATGTCCACCACGCAAGCTATCTTGTAAGCTCTGGTGTTACACACAGGCGCTTGGTAGGTCTGTCTGATATTGAATCGAATTGTGACAGGTACCAGGCCTGTGGAGATCGCATTTTCAAACTTGTGAGTGGTAGAGTTGATGTAGTTGATGCCATGAGGCCCAACAGGTGTTGCCTGTGGTGGGCAGAAATCTTGGCGAAAGGATGGAAGGGATGAATTGCTCTGCGTAATTCCTGAATTCTTTCTGGTGGAAGAAAGATTCTCGCGCTGATTGAATTGAGACGTGCATCTATATAGTCCATGTCCTGAGATGGCTGGAGAGGAGATTTCACCACATTGACCTTCAGGCCCAGGTCTGCCAGAGTTTGAAGAGTGACGTTGGTGTCTTGCACAGCTTTTTGGAAGGAAGCAGCTACGATCAACCAATTGTCTATATACGGAAGATTGTGATGTTGTGTAGACGAAGGTATGCTGCTACCGGAGCCATGCATTTTGTAAAGGTGCAGTGGATAGTTCAAAGGGAAGGGTGCAGAACTGATAAGCCATATTAATAAAGAAAAAGAACTGTCCAATGTCCAGGCGAAAATCAGCAGCCCAATAATAATGATTTAAATCACAAGAGAATCAAAGAGAGTTTGATTGATTAAAAAGAAGGTCATAACAGTCCGTAGTCAAGCCGAATAAGACGATTTAGTTCAAAACAGTCCATGATTCAAAGGCGGGAATTGAATCTATAATCAGTCTATAATCAGAAAACCAGGAGACAACGTACAAATCGAAATCCAAAAGAGTAACCGGTAGACAACCCAAGGTCAAAAACTTTCAGAAATATATCGTAGGATCAAATAAACAGTCCAGAATAAAAAACAGAATATTGAGAAGATAGCTCCAGCACGAGAAGTCCAATTGCAGTGGAAGCAAAAACGAACTGAGGTAACGGGCGGGCGGAGCATGCGCATACAGGGCAACGTACTATTAATCAATTGTTGTAAGCTTTAGAATATTCTGAGGAGTCCTCCGCAGGCGCAGTCTAAACCCATTTGTATGGATTCACAGAGACCACGAAGAAGAATTTAGCATTCACCTCCTTCAAATCTACATTGGTTACTAGTTAATTTATCTATGCCTGAGAAATATACTTGACTAAGCAGCAAACTCCATAATCTTTGGGCATTCTCATATAAAGGTAATAATGCCAGAATCTGGAGGTAATCAACTGGAAGTCAATTTGTTAAAACTAACTCATTTGCAGTTTTATCAATTATGTTACAAGTCATTATTAAAGCCATTAAACAACAATGTTATTAATGGCTTGATGAACTATTATCATTTCTTCCCTAGTTCATTAACATTAAATTATTGTTTCATTTAAAAAAAAAACACAGCAACATGTCAATGACAGTAATGGGTGAAATAAAATGACTGTCATTTAATTTAAAGGTTGACTTAGCAATGGTGGTCATTTGGGTAATTTTTATACTTTTTTTTTGAAACACAAAAATCCAAAGAGATAACAAAACTCCAGTAAAAAGAGAACTGGGCTGGTTTATAAATACTGGATTTGTAAGTTGGATGAGATCAATTTCCCCATCATTATTTAAATATGAATCCACAGGAGAAGCTATGGGAAAGTCGTGAGTAGTGTGTTAAGCATTTCTCTGCTTTTTAGTAATTTTCTATATTTTTGCTCCTTCCAAGATGGTCTGTCAAGGAGAAACTATGATCCAGGTTTGAGGAAAATTAGTTGGCTGCACAATATACCTTAGTAATCTGCAACTTCCCCAAAACAAATAGTAAAGAGCCATAGCTTATTGGCAATATTTTATGTATCATTGTACATCAACCATGTACAATTCAAGCACTAAAATATATCCATGTTAATTTACCATTTTTTCTGCTAGCAATCTGTGTTCTAAAAGTGGACAATACATTTATTTGAACCCTGTTTTTACAAGTCTTCTGTCAAAAGGCCCATTAACATTCAAGAACATAAACTATTTTCAGCATTTGATACCAAAGGAGAGAATGTATTTTGAATATATCCAAAGCAGTTATGACCTACTTTGTACGTACTGTACTTTAAATCCTGCCTACTTTATCAAAGAGCTTTACGTTCCTATTTTACCTAATGTAAGCATAATGAAATCAGTTATCTGTACATAGTGCTTTGTTGACATTATAATCTAAAGTGTTTTACAATCCTTGAAAGCAAGACATTTTAGATACATCCTGAAATTGCACACTTGCACACTCACTTCTGAACTACTTCAAGATATAGTTGTATGCCTATTTTGAAACAGGGACAGCTCATTCATATGCTTTCAAAGGACACAGCAGTTAGATTTATCCCTTTGAAAAGGGCTATACAGTGGTGCCCAGCTTGATGACGACCCCAGACGACTAAATTGCTTTATGATGACTTTTTGCAATCGCTATAGTAATCGCAAAACGATGTTTCTATGGGGTTTTTTCACTTTATGTCATTTCGGTCCCTGCTTTGGGAACCGTTTTTTGGCTGGAGGACGATCAAAAACAGCTGATCAGCGGTTCGCAAAATGTCCCCGCTGTTTTCCAGACCTATTTTCGCAACACAGGGATCATAAAATGGCCACCCTATGGAGGATCACTGGATGATCAGGTATTTCCCCCATTGGAACACATTAACCGGTTTTCAATTCATTCCAATGTTGTTGTTTTTTGTTGGGTTTTTTTTTGCTTGACGATTTCGCTTAACAGCGATTTTCCTGGAACGGATTATCATCATCAAACAGGGCACCACTGTATACTTGGAAGTAATCATAAAACAACCTGGTCAAGCTAACTATCCTCATCGTCATCTTAGAACTGCAGAGCTGGAAGGGACCCTATGGATCATCCAGTCCAGCTTCTGTCAAGGAGACACTGTGGGGACTTAATCTCCCAACCTCTGGCTCTATATCCAGATACCTAAACCACTGAGCTAACCAGCTGCATGGGCAATTGTAATCCTGACCATCAGTAGATTGTAACATTTTCCAACACAACACTGCCTCCATATATCCCGCTGCCAGGCAGTTGGCTGGGAGGGGGTACATTCCCCCTCCAATACCAGGAGGGCGGGAGCAGCATGTGATGGAGACATGTTGCAGCCACATCATGCATTGGGGTGGGGCCATGGGGCTTGTATAGTGAGCCCCACCACAAAGCAGGCTTCTCTTTGTTGCTGCTTATTGGGAAATTGGCCTGAGGATGTCTTTCCATTTCAGCTGGATGGGGCAAGGTTGGCAGTGCACAGCACCACTCCAGGGCAGGGTGCTTGCCTGGCCCAGACTGGGAAGAGGCCAGGTTGGTTCACCTGCTCCTGTTTGTAGGTTTGATGCAATACCTTTGGCCTCACCTCAGTTCAGGGATTCAACAGTCAATGAACCCATCTCTTGTACCCTGCCTCTTTATTTACTGATTAGAGGGAACAAATACAGTCAGCTCCCTTGGGCACACCAGTAAAGGAAATGTCCTGTATTAGACTGAATTCTATAAATTTGGAGAGAGCAATACCAAATTTGTCAATGCTGATTTTGAGCAATAGCTAAGGCCCTACTATTCCCCACAGTATAACCAGCCAACAAATATTCAGCTTTGATTATTTACCTTTCAGCATGGTCTTTCCAGTTGATCCTCCTAAAATATTTAATGTACCACTTCTTGAGCCCAGTGATGTAGTTGCTTCTAGTAAAGCACCACCAATAAACTCTGAAAGAGAAGTCCTGCGTAAAGTAGCCCGGTATTCAGGAGCTTGCTGAGTACATGATTTTATGGAAGAATTGTCACCTTTGCACCAACAATTTGTACCGTGGTACTGAGTCAGAGGTTCCCTCAAAGGGCGAGGAAAGTAATTCAAAGAATCTCCTGTTCCTTTTGCTGACTTCAAAATCTGTCAAGAAGAAAAGAAAATATTTTTGAGGGTTTCAGCTGAACTATACGTTGAAGGTTTTTGCTGTTGTTTTCGTTAGTTTTGTTAAAGACAGTATAGAAAAACAAAGCAACTCTTCAAATGCTGGTCTTAAGTAGGACACAGAAGTATTCCTTGAACCCTGAGCTGATTTGAGTCAGGTTCTCAAGCAACAGAAAACCCAAACACTGTTGGCAGAGCAATAGCTTAAGAATGTTTTAACCACTACTGGCCACCAAAAGGTGAATTTTAAAGGAAGTTATGAATGAAGAGGTGGCTCCACATAGGTGTTTGAGAGTTCCAGCCTCAGCAAGCATCAATAGAGTTGAGTAGGCAGAACATTTAGACTCTCGCAGAGGAGAGGCAGAGGGTGGTAGAACTCCAGGAATTAAAGTAACAGGACAGGAAAAACAGACATGACAATCCAAAGGTAAAAACATTTTAAAATTCTCTGCTGCTTTGAATAGAAGGGTTCTACAACAGAAGAACACTATTCCAACTTTTGCTCGTAGCTACGTCAGGGATGACAACAGTGTAACTAATGTGCTGCATGCAGCCCCCAATGTTATTCAGGGCCCTGTTTCATTTTTCTGTTCCTGGGAGCCTCCAAGAGGTAAACATTTGTTATTTAATGGATATAGGGATGCCCAAGCTCTCCAAAAGCCCTCAACCCCACTCAAAAGAAGGTTGGCAGTAGAAATCTCACAACTGAAGTGTCTCCCACATCATTCCCCCCCCCCAAACGTTCAGAAGCACACAGATCCTGAGGGCTTGAAAAATGGTCCTGCATACTCCTGTTCCATACACAGAAAGAATCAATCTGCCAAGTTAAGATAGTACTTTATCTATCTGATGGCCCATGAAAGCCCAGAATAGTTCTTTTACCTTTTAAGGAGCCACAAGAACCTTTGCTGCTTAGAAATAAAGTACAGTAGGACCCTATATCCGTGGTTTCAGTTATCTGAGGTATACCACAACCTTATGCACAACACACAAGGGGTAGCCCTTGTGGCTTTTGTCCCTCCTCCTCGCACATTGTATATAGGGTACACTACTATCCGTGGTTTCAAGTATTTGTGGTAGATCATGGAACGGATCCCCCATGGATACAGTGGTCCTATGGTATCTGCAAGGTATATTTTGTGAAGAGCAGCCTACAGTACTTTAATATTTAATAAGCTGAGAAACAACACTATCTATGACTTGCAATGTTGAGACAACCTGACCTTTGATGAGTTAATTCCTTTCTTCAGTCTGCAGAGCACCCTGTGAGATCCTCGATCAGTTACTATCATTAATCATACTCAGCATTATTAAGATAATGTATCTGGAGAATTAGCCAAACAAAAGCCTAGATTATGAAAAAACTATCCTACAAAATGGGGGGAGGGAACTACATGGAAACTCATTAACCTACTTAAATTAAAATACTACATTTTCAAAATATTGTACATGGTCTTGAAGATCAGTAACACAGCTATGTCTGGTGTCCAAAAGGTCCCAAGTTTAATTGTTAGTGTCTCTACAGGAGTACTAAAGACCCATACTTGAAACCCTAAGGACCCAGTGGCACCCAGTGTAGCTCATGGGTGAACAAACGGGTAGACACAACTGTTCCCGGTTCTTGGAAGGCCACTCTTACACCAAATATTTCTCACATATTTTAAAATTTAAAACATTCTCAGTCTAAACAAAATGACAACCCTAAGAGCATGTGAGATGTTCAAGAAGTGATTTTCCATTGCCACTACCAATGTGTGGTTCAACATCACCATTACCAGTGAGTTTCCATGACTTAGAGGGACTTGAACCCAGGTCTTCTGAGTCCTAGTCCAGCACTCTATCCACTACATGACACTGGCTTTAAAAAGACAAGAGTTGAAAGTACTGGTGATTAAATATTGTAATTTGTTCTAATACAGAAATTACTATTGTTCTTCCTGCTAAAATGTACTACGCACTTTATAAAAGATACAGTAAAAAGGTTTGATTCCCACCCAAAGTAGTCTACAGCCTAAACAAAATGGTCAATGCATGATCACCGCAAGGCAATTTTAAAAAAAAATTAAGCCTACTATCACATTACAGAGCCTCTTCATTTTATCACCTTCAACAATGTTAATGAAAGAATTTAATAGACAGCTTTTTATTCTAATTATTTATTCTAATTATATTCTAATGAATATACTTCGAAGAAAGTACAGTTAAACAATAAAATCTTCATCAAAAAAAGACAAAACACAGATATAATTGCATGAAAACCAATCTAAATTCAACACAATATGATAAAAAAAAACCTGACCAAATAAAAAGTTTTTAGCTGATGCTGAAACATCAGAGTTGAGACAGGAATTCATTCCAAGAGCATTCCAAAGAATGCTCTGCCCAAAAGAATCAAGTTCCATTCACCAGGCTCTTCGTGTCCAGGGTCAGTGGGGCACAGAACAAGGTCAAAAGAGCAGGTTTTAATACCTGGGTGACTGGGAAGAAAGATGGTGATAAAGTACCTTGGGTGTTTCCATTCTAAGATTTTATTGTGCAGTCATCCTACCTCCTTCACAGAATTTTATGGGGCATTCAGACAATGCCTTCCATTTTTATTTCTTTTGTGTTTTCCCACCAAATTCTCTTTCTAAATCTTCCACTTCCAGAAACTCTGTGAAGGATGAAGCAATGAAATAGCTGGTAGCACAAGAGCCCTCTATTTGGAATAACTCCCGAATTCTAAAGCTAAAACTACCACTCTCAATTATGCACAAAACCAGACAAATATGTAAAGGAAGGTGTGGCAATCTACCTTGTTGCCCCTATTTATTTGGCCCTCACAATGGATCATGCCCTTTTCCTTCACGCCGCCACCAGGTATTCCCCTAATACCAATTATGTTATACACTGGTGCTGCCAAAATTAAGGGTTATTGAACTTAGGAATCAGAGGTTTAATCAACAAATTTTCTTTTATTGTCAAGTAAATCATAAAGGTAAATTGTGTAGGAACTGTATCAGGTATTAACACGGATTGGAAAATGTATGCAGTCACTTTTATTCCAAACTACGATGTACTTGTAATCAATATCTCTCTTATAGTACTTATGATTTCATTCCTGCTTGTTGAATATATTTTAACCCTCACAACTAACACTCTCAGCTCAATTCACTAACCCTCTCTTTCTCTCTCCTAAACCCTAACTGCCGTTCCACATCTCCAACTGTCCCTCTAACTCCGCCCCCTCCTGCCCTATCCTTGGCTCCTCCCCCTTGAGCTTCTGTGATGGACAGGCAGGAATGATGTCACCTGTTGGCATTTCACCACAGAAGGGTGGGAAGAAGCAGATAATATCTTTCTGATTATTTATAACGAAATTAAACAAGAGCAATCTGAGGATAAGAACATTCAGAGTGAGACATCTTATACTCTGGTACAGTGTAAGCCCCCCCTTTCTTCTTTTTCACTTTTTTTTTTTTTGGCTAGCTTCATGTTGACAACCATTCCCAGACTACCTCAGTTCTTGGTATTCTTTTCTTATGTGCTCTGAAAAACAGTTGGGTAGCAAAAAATAATTTCTAATTATCATGGCTAGTTTCCAAAATATTTTAATATTTTGCAGTCTACTAAGATATTTGTTGCTTATGCAGCATTAAAGTTTTTCTTAACTACCAATGTAAATAAATCCTTTGTTTGCAAAAAGAGGCGACAGTGGCTTTTTTGTGAAGATGAGTTGAAAAATAATGATGCTGATTTATTTTACATGAAAGTAGACATCAGACCAATTAACTGTCTCTAAAACGCCAACTGTCTCCTTAAAAAGTCTTCTTCACCTACTATTTTCAAACAATGTCTGGTTTTCTGTCCTGAATAAGAGATCAGTTCAATTACATTCAGAGATATAGGCAGAGAGATAGGTAGGCAGATGTCACCCATATCACTTTGGAATCTGACATCGCAAGAAATCTTCTTCTTCGTTGTTTCTATTTCATTTATATGATATTTTCCTCAAACATTTACACTTAGCCTGGCACACACTTCAAGTAAAGCTGGCAAAAGTCGCCATTCCTTGGCTGTTTCTTTAAAACAATTATTTGTTATTCAATGTTTATATGCTCTATCTGTGACTGACTCTAACTGCAGTGTATCCAAAATGAAATGAAATGCTGTGTGTGACCTGTTACCAACTTCAGGATAAAAATTAAGGCATGCTAAAGCCCATGATGACTCTTAGCACAGTTATAAGACTACAAGTGCAGGTCAGGGAGCTGGGAAAACATTTCTTAACAAAGGACTTCACCATGCAACTCAATGTGCCTCAGAAGAGGAAAGAATATCAAAACTTCAGGTGCCTGAGATTTTTCTTGTCTTGCTTCAACATATGCACTATCATCTCTCTTCAATAACAACAGAAGGGATGTGAAATTGCATTTAAATAACAGTGGCTATGAGTATCAATTGTGAAGCAGGATGTAAAGTACTAAATAAACACCAATCAAAAAACTAAGATTCCCCAGCCCAAAATCTGACCTAGAATTTTGTGTTTTTTTACAAATTTTTACAATTTACTAATTTTACAAATAAGGAGAAAACACTTTTAATAAGAGAAATGCAAGCACATTCCTTCCATAAAATGGCTTATTAGGGATTGGTTGTCGGGATTAAAGGACACAAAACAAGAATGTAAGATTCTACAAATTGGAACCTCCACTTTAGCAGACCAGCTACAGGGCGCATATAATGCACCTGTTACAAGCATGGCACTAGCTACCAGTCTGTTTCTGGGCCCAATGCAAAGTGCTGGTCATTACCGATAAAGCCCTATGCAGCTTGGGTCCAGGATACCTGAAGAACCGTATCTCCCTATATGCGCCTTCTCGGCGATTAAGATCAGCAGAGGAGGTCCTCCTCTTGGTCCCATTGCCAGCACAAGCACAGCTGATGGGGACACAGGAGAGGGCCTTTCCTGTGGCAGCTCCTAGGCTATGGAACACTCT